AAACTTATATTAAAGTTTTTCTTCATTACCCATTTAAGCCGTCTCCAGCCATTATTAGTCTCAAAGTCTCGTCATCGAATCATGTGGGTATGTGTCGTAGAACAGTAATTGTTGTAGGCATACCAGTGAAATAATGGAAACACAAATTCGTGGCAATCGGAAATGTCATCAGAGGGCGCTACATCTCCTTAATATGGCCACCATTTGTGTCAACCATAGCTCACATTCTTGAGATGATGTGATAGATAGCTTAACGAAGCTGCCCAATATTCAACATAACTACATACTTTCGGATGGCCCACATGAAATTGGCTAGGGAAAGACTTACACTCAGACATGTATCGTGGAGATCCTGCTTTGTTGAAGGATTTGACAGATATCATTCCGGCATCATATAGCCATATTGAATAATAGAGTACTTTGTTCAGCTGTCTTTCCGAAGTTAAAGAATATCTAGTAATTAATGTCTTTTTTTTTAACAACAACTGAAAGATTTCAGAATTGTTTAAATGTTTTGCAAGAACATGGCAACTGTTAAAAAGTTTTGATCTTTTTTACGAAAGTTATGTTATCGGATGAGCATGAAAGCTCAAATTACTTCGAGGTTGTCATTAGTGTTAGCCAAATGTTACACAGCAATGACAAAATAATTGCTTATGATACAGCAACGCAAGCCTAATTTACTTTTGATTTAAGTTCTCTTCCGTATAACTAGCAAAGAATGTTTGCTCAGAATTTCCGGTTTCTAGTTCGCCTCTCCACTAAGTTAATCTTCGTGTATACGGGTTCATCGATAAAAACTTTGTAGTTCAGACTTCTTAAGGCTGGGCGTGTCTTAGTGGCTAGCTTGCCGGACTGTGAATCCAATAGTCCATGGCGCGTTATTCTTTGCCCCAAAATCGCGATCCGCGCTGTGGGGCCATCGGTGCGTTATTAAAGTGACAATCAAATTCCACTATGCGATTAGATTATCCTAAGAGTTGGAGATGGATGCTATGGTCTGGCTGCGTTTTATCTTGTCTGTCAGTTCAAAAGTAGGAATATCTAGCGCAGATAGCCCTTTGTGTAGATTTTCGCGGACATTATGCAACAAACAAACAAATCAAATTCCTTTCATGCTGTGCGTTTGTTGAAACACATTTTAGCTCTGCCATCTCGTGAAGTAAATTATAACTAGAAAGATAAGAATTAAATTAATAATTCGAGATTTTGATTGGCAAAAAATTATAGTTCAATATTATTTCATGTGTAATGACACTAACATTTTCGAAATGTTGTCAACATTTCTATTTCCACCAAGATTTTAGGATTTTGTCATTGGGAGCTTCAGAATCATTGTTAATATAGAGGCTTGAACATTGTGTAATATGCATTAGATACAATAAGCAGCCTTTACTTGTGTATAATAAGTACTAAAGTTCAATAACTGTACTTTGGTTTAAAATTAAAAATCAAAACTAATTTGGTTTAAGTTAGGTAATTAGTAAAATTCGACACCTTTATTTGAGTTTAAAATTAAAAATCACTAATCTGGTTTAAATTAGGTAATTGATAAAATTCAACACCTTTATTTGAGTTTAAAATTAAAAATCAAAACTAATTTGGTTTAAATTAGGTAATTAATAAAATTCAACATCTTATTTGAGTTTAAAATTAAAAATCAAAACTAATTTGGTTTAAACTAGGTAATTAGTAAAATTCAACACCTTTAGTTAAGTGTAAAATAAAAGATTGAAACTAATTTGGTTTTAATTAGGCAGTTAGTAAAATTCAATAGTTTTATTTGGGTTTGGAATCAAAGATCAAACTAATTTGTTTGAATTGGGTAGTCAGTGCTCAGATTTTATTATCAGACTTTAAAACATTCAATTGCTTAAGCTTATTTTTTTGTGATTGGTAGGCACTGTCAAAACTAGCAAACAGTAATCTTCAGCGAAAATTTCCCCCATCTGCAGAAATAAAAAGTGGTTATGGTGATCAACAAAGGTGAGTAACATATTTTAAATATTTAAACTTAAACAATTAGAATTAAAATTCATACATATATATGTACAGAAGGTAAGAAAATACACTTGAGTAACTGTTTACTGAACTTGACTTAAACTCTAACTTAATCCTCATAATGTTCTAAAAGTATTTCATTTTTTACAATTGCTCTTGCTTATCTAAAATTACAAGACAACCTATTCAGTTGAATATCTAACTATGAAACTGTTTATACTTGTTTGAGATTCGTAAGTAATCTTTATAGTACAGCAAAATTCATTTCACTTTGTGGACTGCAGGAGATTATAGAGAAACACTAAAGTATTAATTGTTTCATCTTGTGTTGAGTTACAGAACGGTCTACACAACCTTTCTACTTATTAAACTTTCTATACCTGTGTTTAATTACAGAACATTCTACATGACAATTTAGTGCACATCTGATTATATACTTAATAAACTGTTTACACTTTCACTGAATTTCAGTGTATTGCATAACTGAATGTTTAACAAATTGACTTTGCTTATATTGAATCAAAGAACATTCTACACAGTAAAGTGTGTATATAATTGTTTTCTTAGTCAACTTCACTTCTATTGAGTTACAGAACAGTATTTACTCTGTATTGAATAATTGATTGTGTGCTTAACAACTTTGTTTGCTTCGGTAGAGAGCTGACACCATAAAATGCATTTATGATTTTGTTTTCCTAATAAATATTCTATGCTTGTTTTGAGTCTGCATACTTCATTGCAGTACACATTTGACTATTTCTATTAGCTTAATAAACTGTCTCCACTTGTCTTAAATCTCAGAACTGTCTACACAATATGGAAGACCCTATTAGATGAAACAGACAAGATAGCTCAAGCTAAGTTGGCAGCAGTTGATGTGTATCAAGAAGTGTCAGAGAAAGCAAAAGCTTTAAGAAACAATAAGCTACAGGTGTCAAAAAGGGTTAGTGAAGTGTTACATGTATTTGTTTTCTCAGATTGCATTTACAAAAAAAAGCTTATTTTATTAGAGAGTGTATGGTAATTTAATCATTTCTCTGAATTATATCCAACTGTGATTGCTTTCCTCTAAATAAAATTATTATAACCACAATATAAGATATCACTTATCCGAGCTTGATGTTTTAGCATTTTGTTTTTCAAGGAATGACATATTCATAAATTTCTGTTTGTTTTAACCTATGATTTCTTTTATTTTTCATAAGCTAGATATAACATAAAATGTTTGTAATCTATGATAAAGGGTGTGTGTGCGGTTATTTATAATAATAACTAAAGTTATTTCAAAATCTCTAAGAACCATCAAACCATTGTCTCATACTTCATGGCTTCCCCACATCAAATAACCCAAGTACTTATGACATCAAAAGATTTAAGAAAAAGAAACTGGATATTTTGAAAGTAAAAAAAAGCTAATATTATATATAGAAGCTAGATTTTAAGAAATCCTATATATATTTTTTCATTTAGCTTTCATTTAGAGAAATTATTGTGATACATTGTTGAAACTTCCATGTTCTTAGCAGTATATGACTACATATGCAGGTCCATCACCAGCTTTAAAAATGAAGTAGTATTAAAGTGATTATAAAGAATAACTTGCTGGATTAAGTGAATTGTTGACAGCATACATCATGTTTTTTGGACTTACAGTTTGTCAGATATACATGACTGTTTAAGTTGAACGTGAGTGTTATGATTTAGTTATTTTTAGAAATGATAGTTTATCGTAACTAGTTACAAATCATATGTTGTGTAGTTCAGTTGTTGTGAATTGGCAATTATTATTGTGTCATGTCACTAGAACCTTCTAAGTTTTTCTCATTGTTTTAATTGAGTATTATTGCATCATAATAGCTTGTAGTCTGTGGAATGTTCTAGGTCTCTGTCAAGCTATAAATTCACATTAAAAATGCTGTTCAAGTTAGCAAGTTAGATAGATAGATAGTTACATTGGACTGAGTTATTGTGAGTACAGCCATAAAGGGTGTATAGTGGGGATTTCTAAAGTGAAATTATCACAGATAGTATTGTAATAACAGAGTAGAGAAGAAATACTTTGTTTTGTCATTTGTGTTCTAGATTAATTTGACCAACCTGTGTAGACTTTGATGAAAATAGACAATTATTTAAAACTCTGGATACAACTGTGATAACCAACAGTGTAACATAAGTGAAATTATCACTGATATTAATGTAATAAAAGTTTAATGTAATGTCAGTTGTGTTCTAAAGTAACTGAACCAGCCTTTGTGGACTTTGAAGAAAAAAAAAAAAGATTATTTAAAGCTCTGGATACAACTGTGATAACCAACAGTGTAACAAACATTTGTATATACATTTGACATGTTTTGATATATTATTTTAAAACAAGTGGACTGTGTTCTGTTTGTTTATTGTTGAAATTTATCACCAACAAGTCACAGACACCTATTGTAAAGAATTTGGCTCAAACAATAAAGTCTGACACAGTTGACACATTTAACTCAGTTTTAAACATTTTGTCTTTCAGATGGATTAAATAATTTTAGTTCAAAAGAAAAGACATTTTTTATTCATACTAAACAAATATTGTTGGACCAGACCAAACTACCTAGTCCTACCTTTATGATCGGTTTGCTCCATCAGAAGAATACCACTTCTAACTCCCTTTTTTTCATTAGTGTTTTGACAACATTCGGAAGATGCATGAAGAATTGCAGCAGTCTGTGCAGGAAGTGGACAAAACTAGAAAACTTTATTTTGAAGAGGAACACATGGCTCATGGGGCAAGAGAGAAAGCTCATGATGCAGAAGAAAAGTAAAATGCACCATTAAATATTTAACATAGTTATTTTTATAAGTATAATACAAGATCAGTTAGTTTGAATATAAATCTTTAAAGCATACCATCTGATGGTATTGGCATTTTTTTATTTTCAAAAGCAAAAAGAAAATGATTAGTACTGAGCATGTTTTCAGTTATTTAGATTTTTTGAGGATGGCATAAGATTGGAAGAACATTTTATGCAAAGAAGACTATAAGTACATTTGCTGTTAGGACTAAATAATTTTGTGAGTACTCATTTTTTGACATGATGATGATGACGTTTCAATTTATTCCTTTCTTTCTCTGTTTCTTTTTACTCATTAGTCAAAACAACAACAACATGGGAATGTACTAAACCACAAAATGATTTGAACACACCTTCATTAATGAAAAAAAAATCTGTTTCAGGCTGACTTTTGTAGATAGATGTTCCTCATCAGGATAAAGCAATGTAACCTGATATAATGGTTAAATTTTCAGTTATGATCATTTTAGAAATAACATGAATTATTATGAGTATGTATGGTAAAAACAAAATGTAAGTTTATTCTATTATTCATTAACTCAAGTGTAACTTGTCCAAATGGTTACTGGGTTGACAACAGTTGAAAAAGATACAATATTTTTCAAAGAGATTTAATGTTAAAATTTATATTGTAAACTGCTTGTGTGTAATAGTAAGCTTATTACAATTAAAATGTAAAGTTTATACAAACACCTGAACTTACAAAACTTCTTGCACTAAAAATGAAGCTCAATCATACTTCAAAGATTTTGGTGATTTAAAAGTTATATGAAAATTACAAAATTATGAGGGTATTGTAGACCATTAATTACAAATGAATTGCTTTCAAGTACCTTAGATTTTTTTCTAAATAAGGTTTTCACCCTTGTTATAATATTTACTTACTTTTTGACCAAGTATTTTTTTAATAATTATTTTTATCTGATTTGTCTGATTTTATTAATTTGAATATAATAATCCATTCATATTCATAATTTAAAACTATCATGAAAGGCTGCATTTCTGTAATATGTTGGTCTAGTGTTAGTTAAAGAATTTTGAAACTATGGTAGAGACCTGTATTTCAGACCTGACAAGCCAGGTTCAATTCCATGCAATACTCCAATTTTAAGATGTGGAGTATTATAAGAGCAACAATCAATCCATTAGCATGGATAGTGGGTGGTATGATGCTGCTGATTGGCTGCTTTTCATCTTGTCAGTGTTCCAAATTAGGGATGGTGGCTGATAGCTGTAGTGGCTTTGCTATAAATACAAAAAAAAAAAAACACAACAAAAAGAATGATTTACACATGAATTTATTAAAGTGTGTTAGTAGACATATTCGTCATCAGAAGCAGCTTGTGAAGCAGTTTTAAATTTATTATCATTTATTCTAATTACCAGTATTTGAAGTATGCATTCAGATTCAACAATAGATATTAGCACTAATGTAACAAAAAGAATCCTGGAATTTAATTATTTTTGTAAAACAAGTGGACTGTGTGCTGTTTGTTTATTATTGAAATTTATCACCAACAAGTCACAGACACCTGTTGTAAAGAGTTTGGCCCATACATTAAAATCTGACACAGTTGATACATTTAAATCAGTTTTAACCATTTTGTTATCAAACTTATCAAACTGTTATATAAATACACAGTGAACACAATATTGTATGCAGCAATTAGTGAAAACACCACAATAAATGGAACAAATTGTCAGAAGTCTGATATCAGACAAACTAGTTTCTCTGAACTCAGACTTCTGACAGTTTTTCCATCTACTGTGGTTTTTTTTCACTAAATGTCTTCTACATTATACACTAAAATATATAAAAAATTTGGTTGAATACAGAAGTGATTTTTAAAGTTTTGTCTTTTAATATCTTTCACAATATTTAGTCAATTTTTATAGCTTTTAGATTATGTAATTGCTTAACCAGTTATTCTCCTGTCTTTTTAATAAAAACTGTTGTGTTTTAGTTTGCTATTTCTGTGCATATATGGTATGTATGATTTTGGTCTGCTAAGGTATGGGTTTATGTGTATCTTTTAATAAAAACTGTTGTGTTTTAGTTTGCTATTTCTGTGCATATATGGTATGTATGATTTTGGTCTGTTAAGGTATGAGTTTATGTGTATCTTTTAATAAAAACTGTTGTGTTTTAGGTTGCTATTTCTGTGCATATATGGTATGTATGATTTTGGTCTGTTAAGGTATGAGTTTATGTGTATCTTTTAATAAAAACTGTTGTGTTTTAGTTTGCTATTTCTGTGCATATATGGTATGTATGATTTTGGTCTGTTAAGTTATAGGTTTATGTGTATTGTTTATGTGCTATGTTTCATATAAGGCCAATGTTATGGTTATCAGTGCATTCCTTAACCTATGATTGTTTAGTACAGCCCTCTTATTTACCTCTCTAGATCTTCTAAACCAGCAAGTGGTGCTCTTTAATGGCTTTAATATCATTGTTCTGTTATCTGATTTTGTGGTGCAACCCTTTTGTTTATCTCTCCTCATATTTTAATTCAGCAAGAGGTGTATTTGTTGGTTTTAATGTAACTATTCTGTCATCTGATTGTGTTGTTTAGCCCTTCTGTTTAACCAAGGCTTCTGACCTAACAATTAAGAGATGTTTGTAGTTGGCTTTGATTTTTCAAGAACTTTATTATTTAAGAGCTGGGAGTTCTTATTTCTTCTCTTTTTGTGTTTTATTGTTTCTTTTGTTTAGAATTAGTGAAGGAAGAGATATTCAAAATTTAAACTTATGTTTTCTCTTATAAATATTTTGAGTTTTTTCATGTTATATTTGTTCATAATTTAAAGTATGTTTTGGTTAATTACACTTTGCTTTGTAATATGTTTGTGGAAGTTTCAGTTAACGTTAATTTGGATGTTGTTGTTTTTTGCCGTAAGTTATTTTAATTTAACTCAATGTATTTTTATAAATATGTGATCTTTGTTTGTTTATCTTCCGTTTTTCTTAAATTCAGGACTGATGTAATTTTTTACATCATGTTTAGTCATTTTGGTTTTATTGGTTTTACTTAGAATGATTTAATATTCTATATTGTTTTTAAATAAACTTTACTTAGTGTGTATTGTTGACTTTATATTTTCTCTATATCCTAAACTCACCAATGTTTGTATGGATATATAATAATCTTTTTAACCTCATCTTTATGTTATGGATGATGTATACTTAAGTAAACTATTTCTTTTAAACTGTTTTCATGATGCAATGCTGATAGAGAGATCAAATGAAGCCTCTATTTACTAAAATGATATATAATAACTCATGACTTCTTATTTATTATTATATAATTAAGTAGAGGACTACACAGAATGAAATGAAGTACTTCTAGTTTTTTTCTTATGATTATTGTTCCATTGAGAAATTTCCATTATAAGTCATAGCAGATATACCTGCTACTTGAGTATCTCCATGGAAATCTATTTTTTTATGTTTACCTGTTATTGGTGGATTGTATGCTTAGAGGAAATGTATGTTTTTCAACAGTATTAAATGTGATTTGTGACTGGTACGGGAATTTTGGATTTTGTAACATGTTTTTGTACCACAGGCTGAAAATTAAAATTGTACATTAAAATACATGCAAACAAATAATAGAGGAATGAAATTTACTGCATTCGAACTTATATAGTACTTACCACGTTCACTAGTTTCTTTAAATACTTCTTGGTTATTGACATATGTTGCTATGGTAACTGAATAGTCTTAATTTTTTTCTTTTTACCCTATCCATCTGTGTTGTTGGTAAAATGAGACTTTTAAATAGAATAAAACTATTTTTAAATGAGAACTTAATGGTAATAATTTTCAATTGCAAGCTCTTGTTATTCTGTTACTCAATTGGCTAAGCATATTAACCCTCTAGGATGTGCATATTAATCCTCAGGAAAGTACTGGCTTATAACTGATAAACCCTGCAAATGTGGGTTTACTTCATGAGCATTTTCACTGTATGTTAGTTTATTTTTTGCTTGAAACTGAGTATAGTTTTCTAATGTTTACTCTATTAACTTACTCATGGTTTAAATTAGATTGAAGAGGAAAAAAGGAAGAATATTTCAGTCAATTTCATCCCTCCAAAGAAACAGTGCTAAGGTAAATTTTTGTTTGTATTTTCTGCAATTTTGTTTTTTTCAAATTTCTTTGCAACCTCTTATAATTGCTTAATAAGTTTAAAACACTAACTGTTTTCCTTCTGTACCAACAAGAAACACTGAGTGTTTTTATTTTATAATTTATATAAGAATCTGTAAAATATACTAATTGATATTTATGAAAATTCATCAGCAACGTTAATGCTCTTACAGTTTTCTTCAAGAAAGGAAGCATGTGATATTCAAGCTACAAAAGCTCGAAATGACTACATTCTTGCATTGGTGGCTGCAAATGCTCATCTATACAGGTTTTATAATATTGACTTGGCAGACGTTATTCAGGTAAAAAAAAATATATATATTTTTTTTTACTTAAAATTAAAACTCAAAAATACAAGTAGCAGAACTGTGTAGAAGGATTTTTTACTTAATTAGCTGTGTTTTAATTACTTATTCGACTATATTAAACTGGTTTATCTGACAAAGTTATGTTGCTTAACAACTATGTTATGGTAATTGACACTTCAGCTTTGTGTGGGAACTGTTTGTCATTCGTTCTTTATAGTGGTTATTTAATTATCATGTTATTTGATTTACAGAGTTGTGTTATTAGTGCAAAAACTAAAGTTAAAGAGAATCTAATTTGGGAATTATGTATAATTTTATTGATAGTGTTTTAGTATTTAACTAACAGTGTGTATTATTTAACTCTGTTTGTTTGTTTGTTTGTAGTTAAGCACAAAGTTACACAATGTGCTGTTTGTGCTCTGCCCACCATGGGTATCAAAACCAGGTTTCTAGCGTTGTAATTCCACAGACATACTGCTGTGCCACAGAAAGAGGGGGGGGGGCATTTAACTGTGTTGTATTGTTTAACTCTTAATGTTGTATTATTTAACCAACTGTGTATTATTATTTAACTCTTAATGTTGTATTATTTAACTAACTGTGTATTATTATTTAACTGTGTTGTGTGATTTATGTAATGAATGAAAGTCAAAGAAAGCTCAGTTTGGATTACAAAACTATGTTAGAACTGTACAGTATCCTTCATTGTTAGAGGCTTCTCTTTAGTTGGCCATTATATTTAATGCGTAAAGGATATGCAAAATTTCTACATGATACAAGTTGAGAATTTAATGGAGAATGATAGTAGTACTCCTAATATTACAATTATGCTCCAAACTTTGAAAGGGTTTGTATTTAGTGGTTTGTTCTAAAGATTCGAATTGTTTTTATTTTTCCTTTATTTTAGAAAGAAATGTAATATTTATACTTTTGTTATTATATTTAACATAAAGAATTCTCAAAACAAGTTTGTTTCATGAATGTACAGCTTTCCTAGAAATCGCAAGCACAATATAAGGAAAGTCTGTTTACATATTTCTACATTTAAAAAAAATTAAAGCCAGCAAGTTATGTGATATTTGCAACGATGTGATAGCGTTTCTTCGTGTCATTTTGAATAGATATTTTTTATTGCTGCTGCTGACATTTTATAAAATATATACATGTTTATTCATTTAAGTTTTATTTATCACAGAATCTGGATTGTGACATTTATGACAAAATCAAAGAATACATTCAACTGGTTAGCAGGACTGAGCTTCTTACGTGTGCTGCTTGGCAATCATCATTTACAAACTTACAGAGAGAGTCGGAAAGTGTAAGTACTGAGTGAACTTTTAGTGTCTGTTACGCGTGAACCAGGTGTATTAAGAAAGAATCAGCATTATTTTCTGTAAACCAACAACATAAAAACAAAACAAAAATGTTGTAATGTGGGCAAGCAGACATCACTTCTCAACATAGCCCCTGTTAAATATTATGCATTTCCTGTATCATTCTGTAAACTGTGAACACAGTTGCATACTGTTGCCATGTTAGGAACATATACAGGATGGAGAAGGCCTCTTCATCTGAACTACTTGCTTATAGTCATTAATCTACAAGACTGTATGAGGTCTGGCATCATCATGTTGTAGGTAGTATGAGATGTATATAGTTCAGAGGTAGAGGAAGCAATTTTGGATTGGTCAGGCAACTCAGAATAGTGTGCAAAGCATGCCAGTGCTAGGTGGTGGTCTATTTTGAAGAATGGGTGCTCTGAGACTGAATTTTGTGCTAATTTTACAATAATTTATTGAAAGTATTAATCATTTGCAAGCACTTCTTTATGATTCACAAAAATAGGAGCGCACTAGCACTTATACTCGACATAGCTACAAAGAAACACAAGCATGTACACTTGTAGATTACATATATAATTTATTGAAAGTATTAATCATTTGCAAGCACTTCTTTATGATTCATAAAAATAGGAGCGCACTAGCACTTATACTCGACATAGCTACAAAGAAACACAAGCATGTACACTTGTAGATTACATATATAATTTATTGAAAGTATTAATCATTTGCAAGCACTTCTTTATGATTCATAAAAATAGGAGTGCACTAGCACTTATACTCGACATAGGTACAAAGAAACACAAGCATGTACACTTGTAGATTACATATATAATTTATTATGCATTGTTATACCGATTCATACATACCACTATAAGTCTATATAGTTGCCTAGAAAGAAGTTTTGAAGTGCAAGTTAAAAAGCCATACAGTTACTGTGACAAGATGTTGGTCCATCTGCTGCTCAGTCTGCCAGACCTGCTCTGGTGCACATGTAGTTTAACATGTTCATTTGTCAGCCTCAGTTTTCAGCATAGGGAAAAGAAAATTCTGTTACTTTCTGAATGTCCTTTGTATTTCATTAGAGCTTTCCATTTATAATTTAAAACTCTGTTACTTTCTGAATGTCCTTTGTATTTCATTCAAGCTTTCCATTTACAATATAAAACTCTGTTACTTTCTGAATGTCCTTTGTATTTCATTAGAGCTTTCCATTTATAATATAAAACTCTGTTACTTTCTGAATGTCCTTTGTATTTCATTAGAGCTTTCCATTTATAATTTAAAAGTCTGTTACTTTCTGAATGTCCTTTGTATTTCATTAGAGCTTTCCATTTATAATTTAAAACTTTACGTTCTGATAGTTAATACTCTTTGTGAAATCAGCATTGTATTTCTGATGATGGAAATCAAATTGTTATTGTTTGACATATAAATTTATATTTCCAGAATGTGTATAATAGCAAAACAATTCTCCATATAATTGTATGTGCACAATATCAACTTCTTTGTATACATTTCTGGTATGTAAAAAAAGAGCCAAATAGTTTCCTTTCAGCCATGTGGTATTTCTGTTCAAATTCTATTGAATGATTATAAATGTAGTTAGTTAAAACATGCAGTTTTGGTGACAGTTTATTTATGCACTATTATTATATTCTCTGTTTTATGAGAAAGATATATAATGTTAGGAGGTCATTCTGTAGTACTGCCCTAGTTTTTCGGTCAAGATATAAGCCTGAGTAACATTCCTTAGCATATATAATTTTCAGTTATTACTTAGGGAGATATGCTTACAAGTTTTGTAAAAGAGGAAAATTTTTAAAATTGCTAGATTTCATATTTTCAGGGAGGGGTCATGTAGCAACACCACTGAGATCACTTATATTTTAACATTCATAAACTGATGCTCATTCTTTACTTGTGAATGTAATAAAAGCACATGTCATCAGAGACCTTTGACAGCATTCTGCTTAAGGAATAACTTTGAAAGTTGTTTGTTTCTAGTTGCTGAATCTAGACCTCAATAACGGTGGCTTAGAGCATGTAAAAAAAATAGTCTATTATGTAGGAAATCTGTAAAGTTCTTGCTAAGAATCATGTGCTTGAAAGTATAAACAGTCTGCTGAGACCTTATTACATCCTGTTATTTTGAGTTTTTTTTCTGTATATGGGTTAGAAACATTGAAAGAAAAAATAATAGGTTCTGAATAACTTTGTGCTATAAATCAAGATAGAAGTTATACTTTTATTCCAATATACTATTTCATTAATTAAAATCCTGTCAGACACAACTGTATCTTTTTTTATCTCTCCTCAACTGAAAGGTTTGGGGGAAGATATAGCAATGCCATTATTATAACATTTCACTTAGTTTTCAGTTCAATTTGATATTCTTTATTTCCAGGCTACAAAAGACTACACAATGGACTGCTTTCTAAGTGACAACCCAGTCTTGTCCAAAACAATGCAATATAACTTTGAACCATGTGATGGGGATGTGGTATGTATGAATTCTTGAATTTGATGTTTATAAACAAAATAATGTAAGGTCATGGAGCACGAGGCTAAGAAAGGTATTGTTTATTTGAAGCATTATAAGATATGCTTTGAAACGATCCCTTACAATTGTCAGAATATTGGTGTTCTTATACATTGCACAAGTAAATATCAAGCACTGAAGAATGGGAGTTCTTAATTGTTTAATCACTTCAGTAGGCTTGCACTCTGTGGCTTTAGTAGTTTAAATTTTATGATGAAGTGCAATATGTTTTAACTACAGTCACACTGCATGTAGATAATATTGTCATAAGATATTTAACCTTGTATTGCAGATAAATTATATGTAAATTTTATGATGAAGTGCAATATGTTTTAACTACAGTCATACTGAATGTAGATAATATTGTCATAAGATATTTAACCTTGTATTGCAGATAAATTATATGTAAATTTTATGATGAAGTGCAATATGTTTTAACTACAGTCATGCTGCATGTAGATAATATTGTCATAAGATATTTAACCTTGTATTTCAGATAAATGATATGTAAATTTTATGATGAAGTGCAATATGTTTTAACTACAGTCATGCTGCATGTAGATAATATTGTCATAAGATATTTAACCTTGTATTTCAGATAAATGATATGTAAATTTCAGTCTTGTTTTATATGAGTTTTTGTTTTTCAGAGATATACAGTAAATTTCACTTATTATCTTGTTAATTTAAATTTTAACATTTTATAATAGTGACATGCACACTCAGTAGGAATTCAATTCAGTTTTTGATAGACAGTAAAACCTAAAAATTAAACTTTGTTTTTGTGATAAAGTTCTGATAGTTGTAAGGCAATTTTAAATTTTGTCATATGGATTAACAGCCATGTTAAATCTGTTATCTGAAATTAGTGCCATATTAATTTCTATCCATTAAATTGTTTTTCTAATTTAATTTTTCTTATTTCATATTTTTTGTTTACATAGCTATTTTAAAAATTATTTTGTTGAAATTTCAGATTTTTAAAGTATCTACTGAATACAATGCTGGGCTTTGCTTGAGCAAAGAAGCCCGAATGTGGGCTTCTTGTATTGCTAAGGAGAGTCGCACTATAAGAAATTGTTATGAAGAGTTAAACAGATTTCAGTCTGAATTCATTGGAAAGGAAAAAGTAAGTACTATAGGAGATTCTTCTGAAGAGTTAAACATACTTCAGTCTGAATTCATTGGAAAAAGAATTCTTTCCAATGAATTCAGACTGAAGTATGTTTAACTCTTCAGAAGAATCTCCTATAGTACTTACTTGAAAAGTAAGTTTTGTATCTCTATATAAAATTTAGAACTGGAGACTATGTGAAAGTTAATTGGCAATGCAGGTTTGCATCATTTATGAAACTATCCATTTTCCAATGATATGTTTCCTCCCTCTCTCTTTTATGAAAAAGAATTGAATTTAAATATTTGTAAACTAAAATATGATAGGGCATTTTTGTTTTATAATACTTCAGGAAATTGGTTTTGTATAAATGATTTTTTGTACTTTCAAGAGATCTTGTAGCAGAAATGTTAATTTATTTAAGTTATTGTTAAAAACTATATCTAGCACATTTTAAGGACATTATAAGTAAGTAAATAAATCCCAAATTTTGAATATTTTTCTTGGTTTAAAAAAAAAAGGATCAGTTTTTGTTGAGAAAATTTTTGAGAAAGTCCACAAATACATCAAAATTTATTTAGTTTTAGAGCACTTTCAATGACAGTTCAGTTCTTGCAAAAAAAAAAAAAATATTTTGAATGACTTCCTGAGAATCAGAACTTTGACCAATAATTGATATTTTTTAACACTGAGGACAGATTTGGGAAAGTCTCCAAATGGAAATAGTAATGTCTGTAAAACAAAAATTATTTTGTGGAATTTTTATGAGCATCTTTTCCTTTGACTTATTTCTTTAGAAAATGGTGATGGAGGATGTGCATGCAAAAAGCTCAATCTCTTATGTCCTATTTAGCTTTTTACTTATACAAAAAAATATCTTCTGTATTAATCACAAATGTTATTGTAATTGTTATACTTTAAAGCTTAGTATAGAAAAAATGAATCTAGACATCTGTATCAAATAAAAAACTATGCAGACAGTCAATATATATATTTTAGACTGTATTTTTTTAAGAGTTCAGTATCCTCCAGTGGTGAGAAAACAGTAGCTGAAATTGATCCAGAAATAAGGATTGAAGAACTTCGACAGTTGATTCGTAAGGCAGAGGTGAGTGTACTTTGGCGAACAATGATTGTGAGTTACAATGATATTCTTTAGAAGTTAATAGTAAGCATTACAGTTGTCTTTAAATAATATGCAGCTGAAAATACTTTGAGGTAACTGAAAATCAGTGAGTTTTAAAAAACTTTAAAACTTAGGTGAAATTTTATGGTAAAATCAAATTTTTTAATAGATGCTTTTATTACTAGAGGGCAGGCCAACTCCTTCATCCAAAGATTGTTTAATTTTATTTTTAGCCAACCACTTCGTTCCAACTAAATATGAATTTATCTATTATATGGGGGCTAATGCTAATGATTACATAATAACAATTCATTATTGACTTGGTTGTGGTTATCATTAACTCTTTTAGTTTCGCTGCCACGTTTATAAATAAACAATTCTCTTCAGTACCAGGTTTATTTTTAGATGCACAATAAAAAGGAAACAAACTATAAGTCACCTATTTTAATATTGGAATAACCTATTTTCATGGTTCTTCATATAAAACATATATATATACTCAAAAGATTTCAAATGATAACTGAGGCCTCTGATAAATATTGTGTATATATTTTGTGAAATTAGAGTAGTAAATAAAATATGCAAAGCGAAGCTATGACTGACTGTTTCAAATACTTAGAAGCCAGTTTTATTTTCTCCTTAGGAGATCAGTCTGGCGTTGTTAATTTAAAGCCACGAATGCAATGCCGAGAAATATATTGTTTATTTGAGGCATTATGGGACATGTATTGAAACTATCTCGTAAGTGTATAGTACTAGAAAATAGGGATTATTGATGACGTTCGTAATTGTTTGATCACTTCAGTAGCTTGCGCACGCGGCTTTAACATACGTTTCAGAGTTTGGTATATGGTGATTTTATCAATTCTAATGAAATATTATTGGAATTACTTATGATTATTGCCAAAAAAAAAAGATTGAAATGTTTCCGTTAAAGTTTGAAATAGGTTAAATCATACTGGTGTTATTTGCCACCAGTGTTTATTCTTAAATAATATACTAGCCAAATTAATAAAACTACATTATAATTATGCTGAATAGTACTTGCTGTGTTGAAAGTCTAGGGCCGCCTAGTGGTTAGCGCAGTCCGTTGGGGTCGTGGGTACATTGTAAGAGTGATGGTCAAATCTTACTATTAAGTAGCGATTGGTGCTGTTGACTAGCTGCCTTCCCTTTAATCTATCCGTTACAAATTAGGGACCACTGTGTATCTTTGCGCAACAGTTCTGAAACAAATAAAAAGGCAAATATATTTATCCATCGCTAAAAATACATGTTAAATATCGATAGCTAGCAAGAGAGAACTAATAATCTCATAAAAATGCCAAGCCATATCATCGAGCAAAAGTAACTTCTGAGATGGTCGTTAGATGGCAGTGGCGTATTTGTTTTCGTGAAGATCAATGACCAATATAAAACCACACCTTAACACAGTTAAGCCCCCCAGTGGCACAGCGGTATGTCTGCGTGACTTACAACGCTAGAAACCGGGTTTCGATACCCGTGTGGGCAGAGCATAGATAGCCCATTGTGTAGCTTTGTGCATAACTACAAACAATACAACAACACAGATAAAAATTAGTATAAGAATAAAAAGCATGCTAAAAAACAGCCGGTGGTTTAGTTGAAAAATCCAGTCATATTTTCTTTAAATGAAGCTTGTTGATTGTAATAGATAGAACACTGTAATTATCTTTCTCGTTAAACTTTGAATGTGTCTTTTGTGTTATCGCATAGAAGCATTATTAGGTGTCGACGTGTTACATGACAGAGTTTAATAACTGTAGGACTTCATATATTATAGAATTAAGTGTGAGTTGTTAATAAAGTAGAATAACAATCTTGTATATTATAATAAACATTGGGTATTTTTTCACAATGTTACCCATAATTCCATTATAAATATAATGTTTACAATTTATGCAATTTTGAATAGAATTTTACTTCTCAATCAAGCAGAAGTTTATTGAAATTCTTTGTTTGTGTTTGAGTTTTGTCAGTTGGCTTCAGATTTCATCGAGTCGCCTTGATTTGTGTCAGGACCTGAAACAGTTTTGATTAATATATTTGTAGTATATTTGTATATATAGTGCTCGTAACACATTTACTGATTATACATACCGTTAATTCACGTTCCAGCGTATTGCAACTAAAATATTACGCTAAGACTGTTATTTCATGAAGGGCTGATATAGAGAGCGTAACCAGTAAGCGTCGTATGTCGTAACCCAGTCGGCCCGATGAGTTCTGGTATCAATACTTCATTAACATCGATATGCAACAGCCAAAGTATAGTTCAAATACCATAATAAACTCTTTGGCCGAGTGTGGCCGACTGCGGATCAAAGGTCCAAGGTTCGAAACGTGATGCTGCTGAACTTTTAGCAGTGGGCGTTATATAGCTGACTACCAGTCCTGTTTTACGGTTCAACAAGAAATGACAAAGTCCTGGTGGCGGCATGTTCTGCTGTCTGCTTTCCCTCTGGCCAGAAACTCAAAATTAGGAATGTCCATACTTGAACCCTAAAGTTTTCTGTCCTGGCCGCTTAGCTCACGTGCACATAAGATGCCGTTCAGTTTGAAAATTCCAACCATAATTCTTATAGACTCTGAAATGTGATTTGAATTAACTTCAGTGTAATGATAATTAATATAAACAAATCTTACAGGTAAAATTAATATAAACAAATCTTACAGGTAAAATTAATATAAAAAAATCTTACAGGTAAAATTAATATAAACAAATCTTACAGGTAAAATTAATATAAACAGATCTTACAGGTAAAATTAATATAAACAAATCTTACAGGTAAAATTAATATAAACAGATTTTACAGGTAAAATTAATATAAACAAATCTTACAGGTAAAATTAATATAAACAGATCTTACAGGTAAAATTAATATAAACAAATTTTACAGGTAAAAGTAATATAAACAAATCTTACAGGTAAAATATAGAATACTTTTTCGTGACGAGTAATATAACTTTTTTCAGTGAAGGTTTTGTGATGAATGAATGTCTTTTGACATTCACGTGTTATTTTGTTTGCAGTTAAGCACAAAGCTACAAAATGGGCTATCTGTGATGTGCTTACCACGAGTATCGAAACCCGGTTTTTCAGTGTTATAAGTTCGAAGACTTACCGCTTTGCCAGGGGAGGCATATTATTTTATAATTTTAAAACTGTTGACGCCCTTACCCCAGTTTACTCAAGTTGGTTCAAGAAATATGACTAGGTCCTCCGAATCTGGTTCTCCTATAAAAGCTTTTTCAGCTTATGTTGTAGGATATTTTATCTCCTATTTGAACCATGATCTTGTGGTAGAACTTTGGATTTCGGAGCTGGCGTATTAGGTTCGAATCTGCGTGATGCCTCAAAATATTCTCCGTACTTTAAGTTGCGAGTGCATCATAAGAGTGATAGTCAAACCCTTAGATTGGATGGTGGGTGTTGCTGACTGCTCTGGTCAGCAGTTCAATTGTAGGAATAGCTTTACCATAAGTGTAAAGTACAAATACTCTTCCTGTCTTTATGTTTTCTGCATTTAGTAATGCATGTTTTGACATCAGTCAGCCATGGCATTTGCCTAATGTATTTGTTCTTCTGCAAAGTGTTGCTGGTAGTGGTAGATACTTTTAAAATAGGAGTTTTTTGTGTCACTCTGCTGTCAGAAATTATTGATGTTGGGCAGATTACAGTAATTTTAATATTAAACTTTTTAGTACCTCTATGTTACATTAGTACCTAGAGGATTTTACTTACGAAACTTGCGAAGAAAATATGACCTATTGTTCAGAACTATGATATGTGCAATATTTTTTCATATACTATATATACCTCATACTATCACTGCTGAAAGCTGAGACATATAATCAGTTTTCCCAGTCATGTGTATACGGGTTAGTATTAAAATTATTGTGTATAAATCGGTTAATAGTGGTATTATTGGTTATCCCAGGCACTTCTGAGCTGACAATGTGATGTGAATTTCCAGGTGTTGTTAAAAATAATTCTAAGTTAAACAGACAAAAAAAACGAAAAGTTGAATAAAAATATTAATTAGTTAACGTTCGGAGAAACAGACGGAAAAGAGTGAAATTCTACAGAAAGAATAAAATAATGAAAATAATAAACCTCACAAACATATCTAATGTGAAAGGTGAAGAGCTAAAAAACACAAACATGTCTAATGTGAAAGGTAAAGATCTATATAAACACAAACATATCTAATGTGAAAGGTAAAGATCTATATAAACACAAACATATCTAATGTGAAAGGTAAAGAT